TTGACAGATCATTCTGTCCGTCCGGTTTGTAATGTTAATAACCTTGACTAACCTAAAGCTGAAACCAGGAATTTCCGCCAAAACAATCACCATAAAAATCAAAAACGGTTACTATTTAAAATTTAAGGTAACAACCTATAGCCAGACGGAGAGCTTTCCCAGGTAATTAAGATTTTTATTACCTAAAACCTGGTCAAACGCCATGCTAAAATGTCAGATCTCTAAGCCAGATCTCTAAGCCATATGGGCACGGCCGGTGACATTTGCGTTTCAATGGGCTCCATTTCTCATAATGCATCTTAAAAGCAACTCAACTGTTTTCATCTGAATACTTTGAACAGTACTTTGAACTCTGGCACAGTACAGATAAATTGCTAACATGAGTTGCTGTCTCTCAGTTCTGTCTGTAATTGTACTCGCAATTGACAGATCATTCTGTCACTCCGGTTTGTAATGTTAATTAGCTTGACTAGCCTAAAGCTGAAACCAGGATTTTCCGCCAAAACGATCTCCAACAGAAGTACTAAATATGAAAAGCAAAAACGGTTACTATTTAAAATTTAAGGTAACAACCTATAGTCAGACGAAGAGGATTCCCAGATAATTAAGATTTTTATTACCTAAAACCTGGTCAAACGTCATGGTAAAATGTCAGCTCTCTAAGCCAGATCTCTAAGCCATATGAGCACAGCCGGTGACAATTGCACTTCAATGGGTTCCATTTCTCATAATGCATCTTAAAAGCAACTCAACTGTTTTTATCTGAAACGACTTTGAACAGTACTTTGAACTCTGGCACAGTACAGATAAATTGCTAACACGAGTTGCTGTCTCTCAGTTCTGTCTGTAATCGTACTCGCAATTGACAGATCATTCTGTAGTTCCGGTTTGTAATGTTAATTAGCTTGACTAACCTAAAGCTGAAACCAGGATTTTCCGCCAAAACAATCACCAACAGAAGTACTAAATATGAAAAGCACAAAAGGTTACTATTTAAAATTTAAGGTAACAACCTATAGCCAGACGAAGAGCTTTCCCAGATAATGAACATTTTTTATTACCTAAAACGTGGTCAAACGTCATGCTAAAATGTCAGATCTCTAAACCGCAGATGACAGTTGACATATTAAAGAAAGAATTATGTAATAAATTTGTCCTTTTTTTGTTTTGTTTGTTTTGTTTTTCTTTGTTTTTTTTCTGACACAGAGATGAGTTAAGTAATGTATGTTAGACGTATCAGTAACACCTGTCTTCATCACGATACAAACAGAGCAGTGTTTTACAACCAACAAACTAGTGAACTTTACGATGCCGGAAGACTCGAACTCAGCAATGAACGGGACTCACCCAACGAGCTGCTTCAGTAATCCTGCAGCAGTGAAAATTGGAAGAACCTTCGCTTACTGTATGATCTTCATTGTTTCTCTGGCTGGGAATACTTTAATCGGAATAATCGTCTACAAGACAAAAGCAATGAGAACAAGCACCAACTTTCTGTTAGTAAACATGGCCATGTCCGATCTGCTGTTACCGATTTTCTTGTTCCCGCCAATTATCACTGGGTTGCATGTCGACTCCTGGCTGGTAGGTGGTCCTCTTGGCCAGGCCCTGTGTAAACTGCATGTGTTCTTTTCCAATGTTTCCACAAATGTATCTATTCAGAGCCTGGTACTCATAACATTAGATCGATTTGGAGCTGTGGTATTTCCCCTCCGTTCTCCGCTCATCAGTCCTAAACTTTGCCTCTTCTTCATTGCCGCCACTTGGATCATCGCGATGGCTATCCAGTCCCCATATCTCTTCGCCGTCAGACTAGTTGAAGATTCTGGAACGTTGATCTGCGCGCGGAGGTGGAATGAAGCCTTCGGAGATTCCTCATCCTTTGTAAATTACGGTTCAGCAATGTTTGTTATATTCTTTTGTATGCCTTTGGTTTTAATGGCTGTACTTTACTTTATCATCGTTTTAAAGGTTAAGTCGCAGACAACCCTAGGCGAGCAGTCGGTCAGCGCTGCGCAGCAACGCCGACAGAAAAGAGAACGAAATGTGTTAAAACTGGCGATCGCTATCGTCCTAAGTTTTACAGTATGTTGGATGCCGTTCACTATTCTTACCTTGCTAGGGAAAGTGCCTTGTGGCACCATACATTATTTTGTTATTGCTCGGATCCTAGCTAGTGCAAATTGTGCCATTAACCCTTGCATTTGTTTAATTCTTAGTGGAAGTTACCGCCGGGGTCTTAAGAGCCTCCTAAACTGTTGCGTTGCCCTGCAAACAAGCAACCAAGTAGCACCGATTGGTTCGCAAAG